TCCATTATTTTTTCTAGTCCATCTTGCACTAAAGCCCCCAAATGACCTTCCTGAGAAACCTATAGCACTTTTCTTCAATACTCAAGAATCTGGGGCTGGGTGGTTCAGTGAGTTAAGCCTCTGCCTTTAGCTCAGGTCATGATCTCAGAGTCCTGGAATCGAGTCCCGCATCGGGCTCTCTCCTAGGCGGGAAGCCTGCTTCCTCCTCCCTCTCACTCTCTCTCTCTGCTTGCCTCTCTGTCTACTTGTGATCTCTGTCAAATAAATAAAATCTTAAAAAAAAAAAAAGAGAATCTGTAGTACCTGTGACCATCTGCTGAATTTGTTGTTTTTCAGTGCGGCTTTCAAAGCCATCAATCTTCAGACCCTTCCTCATACTGCTAATTGTATTAATTGTATTTGTCAAAGAAACTCCCTCAGGCCAGCTCTGCTGACCTTATTATGGATGTCGACTATTTCTTTGAATTAGAAGATTGAGAAAATTCATAACTTGAATTTTGGATCAAACTACCAGCCTCTGAGAATAAATGGAGTACATTATTACTGTTTAATATTTTTGGAGTACATTATTAATACCAACTTATATGTTACTGGCTCGTTGGTTCTACATGCAGATCCATTTAATGCCTGCCTCCCTTTTCAGGTGTGGCCTGGGAGGCTCTAAATGATGTCTGACTTACGTTTAGTAAATGAATTCACTCTTACCAGGTGTCACAATTACCCTGCTCACACCACAGGTTTTCTGAAGAATACTACCTCTGCTCTGCCAGACACTATGCCCTCTGCTGGCACACTTCAGCTACTTCACTGAACCCTGAGGTCTCTGTCAATATCTGGGCACATCCAGCCCATCACAACCCTAATACGCTAGATCCCTTAAGGTGCCATACTTTGTGTCTCTGGATAGGATGGAGAATGTCTCTCTTCTCTCTGCATTATATTCTTTTCTTGGAGAACCGTTGTTGAACGCTGCACTTCTGGGGTTCCAATGTTGTGCCTCATTCTTAGACTTTTAGATCTGTCAATTTTTGGAATTTAGTTGGGATGAGGAGGAATTTGAGTGCAGGTCACCGTGCTGGGGTTGTAATCATCTTTTCTCCAGAGACCAGTGCTCTGTTGCTGACTGGGCTCTTGTTCTTTGACCTCTTCTCTTAAAATGCATTATTTCCCAGAAGCATTAATTCCATGTTCCCCCAAACCCCACCTAAATATACATCTGTCTGTTTGCCAGTCACGCCCCCACACAATCTGAGCACTGGCTGTGGAAATCTAGGCTTAATGAGATTCTCCACTTACCAACTTTTATACATTTTTTAAAGATTGATTGGTTGATTTAGAGTGAAAGAGGGAGCGAGAGGAGTGAGCATGGGGGGGAAGGGCAAAGGGAAAGGGAGAGAGAGTCTCAGGCAGATCCAAACTCAGCACAGAGCCCAATGTGGGGCTCGATCTCACGACCCTGAGGGCACTACCTGAGTGGAAACCAAGAGTTGGACACTCAATTAACTGCACTACCCAGGTGCCCTAAGATTTTAAGTTATCTCTATACCCAACGTAGCCCTCAAACTTATAACCCCAAGATCAAGAGTCACATGTTCTACTCACTGAGCCAGCCAGGTGTCCAAACTTTTGCACATCTTATTGGTCCCCCTTGAAATATTTTCTTACCCAATCATGACCTTCTTTAAGACCAAGAACCCACCAAGTCTTATTATTAGACTAGTTTTGTGCCCTAGTTTTGCACTATGCCTGGTGCTTTACAATAAGTGTTCTGTGTTAACTTTCTCCATGTTGTATATGACTCCTTTCCTTTAGATATGTTACTTCAATCTTTACCCATACTGTTACCACATTTGTCTTCCAAAGATAGTGCTTTGATAATGCCACCAATCTCTAATGGCTCCCATTTTTTATAGGAAAAAAATTCAAACTGCTTAGCCTGGCATTTAAGACTTTCCACCATCTACCCTACCTACATTCCCATTCTGGCTTCCCATTAATTTCTTACAGGATATAAATAAAAATAATATAGGTAAAGCCCTTAAGAGCACCTTGTATATGGTAGACACTTGATAAACAGTATCTTGATAGTGTTTGTTTTCATTTTATCCTCATTGTCACTGTTACAAAAATTCCATGGTCACCTGGGCTACAAGGATAAATGACATTTCCTGCCCTTACCAAACTCAGCTAAGAGCAGAAGAGACTAATATAGTAATAACTGATTACTATGAAATATGATGACTAAGTAGTGAGGTCAGTTCTCAGTGTTAAAGGGCCACAGTGCAGGGAAGGCTCAGTGAATTTGCCTTGAAGCTTTAGTAGAAAGGTTTAGAATTTTTTTTTTTTTTTTGGAGAGGTTTACACATTTCATGTAGATTTATTCTAGAAAATATTGTTAAGAAATACCCCTTTTTAAAAAAAACCTGCATTTTCTAACTATTGATGAAAGATAACTATTGGTATTTGTAAATTGAACTTTTATCTAGCAACCTTTCTGGACACCGAGTTTGTAGGTTCTTTTTGGTTTTCTATGTATATAATTATATTGTTTATAAACAGTGGAAGTTTTGTTTCCTTCTTCGCAGTCCTTACATGTTCTACTTTTTCTTATTATTAAATTTTCAAGGTACAGTGCACAGTTGTACAATTAAGAACAATGCTGAACAAGAGCTGTGAATGTGGGTATATTTGACCTGTTTCTGACTGAACTGGGAATTTCTTGGGATTCTAATGTTTCAAGTTAAGTATGATATCTGCATTTTTTGTTAGACAACTTTTATCAGGTTAAGAAAATTTCCTTCTAAGTCATTGAGAATTTTATAATAAATGAGTTTATCAAATTCTATGGAAATGATATGATGTATCTTTTCTAATCCATTATTGCAAAGGATTCCCACAGACTTCTTTTTTTTTTTTTAAAGATTTTATTTATTTATTTGACAGAGAGAGAGAGATCACAAGCAGGCAGAGAGGCAGGCAGAGAGAGAGAGGAGGAAGCAGGCTCCCTGCTGAGCAGAGAGCCCGATGCTGGGCTCTGTCCCAGGACCCTGGGATCATGACCTGAGCCGAAGGCAGAGGCTTTAACCCACTGAACCACCCAGGCGCCCCTTGTGATATATTTCTTAACACATTAATTTAAATCTATTTCCTTTCTCCTACTGCAAGGTCCCATTGCCACTGACACCAATATAACCACTCACTTGCTTTATCCCACATTACATGCAGCAGTCTTAGAATAATAATACAAACAAAATAGTATCACCATCAGTATGATCACTGAAAAAAAACTTGATTTTGGTTTTGCAATTCCTTTTGTCCTAAGATATATATAAAGTTTACATTAGTAACTTAAAGTCTAAGTGAACTGAAATTAACAGCTGTGGAATGTTTTTAGACTCACTGCATCCTTAAATAAGAAAAAAATTTTGATCACATGTTACAATTGAGCTATTAGATATCAGCAACTTTGGACACACACTTACTGAAACTTTCCTATTCCACTGTTTCTCAAACTCCTATCTGATGTATTTCATAATTGAAATACCTGGCATAAACGATCCAGAATGACCTATATTTATTAATACTGATACTTGAAAAATTATGATCAAATTTTCCATTGCTACCCCCAAGACTCTTCCCCAAATCATCAAACTGAAGCCCATAGACTGTAAGGGTCTTTTTTTAAAAAGATTTTATTTATTTATTTGAGAGAGAGACAGTGAGAGAGAGCATGAGCGAGGAGAAGGTCAGAGGGAGAAGCAAACTCCCCATGGAGCTGGGAGCCCGATGTGGGACTCGATCCTGGGACCCCGGGATCATGACCTGAGCCGAAGGCAGTCGTCCAACCAACTGAGCCACCCAGGCATCCCTGTAAGGGTCTTTCTAATACCATCTTTCTGAGACTCCCCTTGGTTCCCAAAGGTGTGTGTTTCCCTTTACTGCAATAATTGATAAAACTTCCCAATTCCTGGTATATTCTTCGTTTTAATTGCTCTAACATAAATTAAAAGACCTATCAACCAATGGCAATGGATTTTATTTTGGTTCTGATTTTAGAAAAATATTTATCAAGACAGAAAACATTTCAAACTGGATATGTAGTATCAGAGAATGACTGTGGTTTTTTTTTTTAAAGGTGGGATAATGGTCTCATTAGATTTTTCTTTTCTTCCCCAAAGACTAGTTATTTTCTAGAGATACATATTTAAATACCTACAAGTGAAATAATAGGATGTCTGATATTTGCATCCCTGGAGGAAGAACAGATTAGAGCTATGCATAGACAATGAAGACTGTCAAAATCCCAGTAATTGTTAAAGGTTGTTAATGAGTAATTATTCTACTCCTCTATATGATCAAAATTTTCCAAAAGTCTCTTTAAAATAATTCATTCTTTTAAGAGAGAGCAATATTGGGGCACCTGGGTGGTTCAGTGGGTTAAAGCCTCTGCCTTCGGCTCAGGTCATGATCCCGGGTTTCTGGGATCGAGCCCCGCATCCGGCTCTCTGCTCGGCAAGGAGCCTGCTTCCTCCTCTCTCTCTGCCTGCCTCTCTGCCTACTTGTGATCTCTGTCTGTCAAATGAATGAATAAAATCTTAAAAAAAAAAGAGAGAGAGAGAGAGAGAGAGCAATATTGTAAGATTAAAGAAAAAGCCACAGTACGGCACTCAAAGAGCGACGCTTCAACCGTTGGGAAGGCTTGGGCTTTCTTTTTATCTCCAACACCTGCATCAAGGCTGCTAACTGGGCTCTCCTAAGTGTCTCAGGCAGATCAATGTCTGAATTAAGTGACACTGTATTTAGAACCCGCATGTGCAATGACTAAGGCTTCTCCGACACCCCAGCAGGTACTTTATTCGCTCCCCACGCAACTCACTCCATCCCAGTCTCCGCACACATCCAAGATGGTGGGTCAGGACAGCGAAACAGGTCAGCTCTGCCTCCCAGAGCGTGCGTTGGCGCCGGCCTGCGCAGGCGCATTTCCGCTTCCCTCCCGACCTTGCCGGATCGCGCCTGCGCGGTGGGGAGCTGCTCGCAGCTCCCGCTCGGCCTTGGGCTGGCTGGCTGCAGTCTCCGTTTGAGCGCGGCCGAAGTGGCTGGCTCGCTTAAGATGAGGTTTCTGCTACTTCTCCTGGTGGCGGCGTCGGCGGTGATCCGGAGCGATGCCTCGGCCAACCTGGGCGGCGTGCCTAGCAAAAGATTAAAGATGCAGTACGCCACGGGGCCGCTGCTGAAGTTCCAGATTTGGTGAGTATGTGTGCCGGGCCCCGCATCGCCGTCGCGCCTCTGCGAGGCCCCTGTCGCTACGCGAGGCCCCGGCTTCGCGGCCTAGCGGGCTGAACCTCCCCCGGCCCGGAAGAACGGCGCCGGGAGCCTTTCGCAGCTTGCCTCCCCTGGGGTCCTTCCCGGGACGGCCAGGCCGCCCTTCTCTCCTCCGGGCGTAACCGTTCTCTTGGCTCAGTTCTTTTTTGCCTCCTAGAAGGGTGGGAGTGGGGGAGGAAGGCACGGGAAGGTTAAGTACTGAAAGGCGAAGACGTGGGGCCCCTTGTCAGTACGGAGGGCCGGTCGGCGGCGTCACGCCATGGCCACCCGGCTGCCTGCGGAGGTGGGCATGAGTTGGTGCAGCGTCGGCGGACGAGCGCGTGCGTTTGACTCCCAGGGCCCCTTTCCTGTCCCCCTTTCCCAGGGTTATGCCAGGCGCCCTCACTGTCCCCCTGGGCGAAGGTTAATTCGGGTCGTTGGAGGAGACCCGCGAGTGACAGACGCCTATTCTCCAGGACCTCTCGGGGTGACTGTTGAGTGAGGGAGTGGGGATTCTGACAGCTGGAGGGCGCCGAGAGGTCCAGGGAGACTGATTCTCAGTTTGCAGTTTCCAAAATGTCTTTAAAAAGGAGCACGTTGCTCTTCCGACAGTGTGGTTCACTCCTAGACAACTCTTACCTGTTCTCCCCCAACTCCCCTGACACTCGCCTCCCAGGAGTTGCCGATACCCGCATGTCTTTATACCCTTCGAATCTCTTGTGCATTCAGAGAAACAGGAAAAAAAAGGGGGGGGGGAACAAAACCTAAACCAGAAAAAAAAAAAAAAATCCCAGCAGTTTTCGACTTTGTACTGTAAGTGATTTTGTCGTTAACCTGGTTAAGTGTTAGAACCCGAGCAGTGATGCATGTAATACGGTAGGTAGGGTTGGGGAAAGATTTGAAAGGCAAACTAAAATTGTAAAATTGTAGAAATTAGAATCCTGTATTGCAAAAGATGACGTTTTTTCAAGATCATAGGCTTTTTAAAACTTTTATTATTTTAAGTGTACTAAAGGTTAGATTTCCTGTGTACCCAACTATTTTTTGCTTATCCTTTAAAGAGTAAGCAAATATTTAAAATTTAAAAAATCAATTTAAGTTACCCTTACAGTCAGAAAGTGAGATGGTGAGATGAGACTTTATTTTTGGAGTGAAAACTATAAAAACTTCGCACTTTCCTCCTGATTTAAAACAAACAAAAAAACAGAACAACTCCCTGTATTATTTACTGTGTGGCCAGCATATATCATTTTCATATAATATTGTAAATGGGAGTTATGACTTGACCATTGCAACTTTTCCCATAATTTTTTTTTTTAAATTAGAAAGTGGCTGTCATTTTTTTCAACCTATAATTACTGTTAAGGATTGTGATACTTTGGATTAAGTAATTTAAAAAGACTGCATTTCCAAGGTATGTAATTTTTCTGTTTCCTACTTTCGCACCTCCTGTTTTGTGCTTTTCCAAAGTACTCTTCTTTTACAATTGCTTCTATTGGAATACTCCTCAGAATAATTTAACAAGTGTACCTTCCACTGAGGATGTTCATAACAACTATAGGGAAGGCCATTTAGTTCTTCAGTTAAACTTTTTAAAAAGTCTTAAGTACTTCAGTTGAGTTTCTGATACATAGTTTCTCTGTCATTTTTTCTTTCCTTTTTTTTTTTTTTTTTTCCTTTAAGTACAAACTTGTCCCAAAAGTCTAATGAGAGTTTTCTCATGCAGTAACCCGGAGCATATTACATACAAAAGTTCTTCAGTTTTGTTTTGTTTTGTTTTTTAATCGTAGATGTGAAAGAATTTTATTAGTATGCCCTCCCTATACAGGTATATTAAGCTTGTTTTTGGTAGGTACTTTTTTCCCCAGAGATTGATCTGTATATAGTAAATTGAATATTGTGTTTCTGGTTTTGGTAGACTCTCTTGGACGTTCATTTGCGAGTTTGGGAAAGAAGGGGAAGCTAAAACAATTGAGGATAAATATGTGAAAATTCTTTTAATTCTGTTTGAAATCTGAGTGCTATAAAATGCAGTTTTTCATTAATTACCACTGTGAACAAAGGAGAGAGCTATTTTTACCTTCTTTTCAATCACTTGTGTCCTTTATTTTATGAGTGCTCTTTCTTTAACTGTAGCTCAGTATATCATTTATTAATTGTGTCATTTATTTATTTTTTTTTAAGATTTATTTATTTATTTATTTGACAGGCAGAGATCACAAGTAGGCAGAGAGGCAGGCAGAGAGAGAGAGGAAGGGAAGCCGGCTCCCCGCTGAGCAGAGAGCCAGACACGGGGCTCGTGATCCCAGGATCCTGGGATCATGACCTGAGCTGAAGGCAGAGGCTTTAACCCACTGAGCCACCCAGGCGCCCCTAATTGTGTCACTTTTATAATTGCTAATAGACTAAGACAGCGGCACAACACACAAATGGAATTAAAAGGAGAGAGTGTGCAAAACAGCTTACAACAAATGTTCCTGTTCTATATTCATGTATTTTTTCAATAAATATTCATTCAGTATCTGCTTGTGCCAGGGATTAAAGATAACCCTGATGAATAATATAGATATGGTCCTCCATGAAGCTTCCAGAAGTGCACAGTATTGCATTACACACCTAAGTCTTTGGTTTATGTCAATTGATGGAGCAGTAGAATTAGATGAGTTTGATAACATTGATTTCATATTTGGGAGAAAAACTTATCCTTACTTGGATGTTTAAACGTTGAACATTAAAAAAAAGGAAGTTCTCTAATCAGAGCTTAAAATAAAGGTCCCTGGGGCGCCTGGGTGGCTCAATGGGTTGGGGCCTCTGCCTTCGGCTCGGGTCATGATCCCAGGTCATGGGATCGAGCCCCACATCGGGCTCTCTGCTCACGGGGAGCCTGCTTCCTCCTCTCTCTCTCTCTGCCTGCCTCTCTGCCTATTTGTGAAAATCTTAAAAAAATAAAAAATAAAAAATAAAAAATAAAGGTCCCCTGTAACATTTTCCTTTCTTGTGATTTTTATGTATAAATGCATTTTATGTGTAAATGTATACTGACAGATACTGGTTGACTGATGTTTGTATGCATGTTTTATTTTCCCCATATATGAAATTTAACATGTAGTCATACCTACAGCATTCAATCAGTTGTAGTTTATTTATTCTTTTTTATTTTTTAAAGATTTAATTTATTTGACAGAGATCACAAGTAGGCAGCAGGCGGAGAGAGAAGGGGAAGCAGGCTCCCTGCTGAGCAGAGAGCCTGATGTGGGGCTTGATCCTAAGACCCTGAGATCATGGCAAAAAAAAAAAAACTAAACTAAAAATAAATAAAAAATTAAAATAGGGGTGCCTGGGTGGCTCTGTGGGTTAAAGCCTCTGCCTTCGGCTCAGGTCATGATCCCAGGATCCTGGGATCAAGTCCCGCATCGGGCTCTCTGCTCGGCTAGGGAGCCTGCTTCCTCCCCTCTCTCTCTCTCTGCCTGCCTCTCTGCCTACTCGTGATCTCTCTCTCTCTCTCTCTCTCTCTCTCTCTCTCTCTCTGTCAAATAAATAAATAAATAAACCTTTAAAAAAAATAAAGAGCTTACTGGGTACAGCTCTTTGCAGTTAATCCTTGTTTGGATATTTATGATTGATTCACTAAGAATAATAAAGATTGCAAAACAAGCAAATACAGGGCGCCTGGGTGGCTCAGTGGGTTAAGCCGCTGCCTTCGGCTCAGGTCATGATCTCGGGGTCCTGGGATCGAGTCCCGCATCGGGCTCACTGCTCGGCAGGGAGCCTGCTTCTCTCTCTCTCTCTCTGCCTGCCTCTCTGTCTACTTGTGATCTCTCTCTGTCAAATAAATAAATAAAATCTTTAAAAAAAAAAAAAAAGCAAATACAGAATTTTCCAATTTTTGTTAATTTAAGAATCCACTGCTATAATTTTAGGGCAACCAACTTCTAAAAGTATTTTTAAGAGGTAAATGAAACAACTATTCCAAGAACAGAGTTTTATTTGAATTATACACACTCACACTTTGCTTTCATGATATGGAGGCAAGAAAATAAAGACCTAAGGCTGATTTGGATGTTGATATTTGCTGAGATTAGTAAAAGGATGAGTTGAAGAAATCTGAGAAATTGGAGCCCTAAAGATCATGTTAGTTACCATAGACTTATATTTTCATATTCAAATATTTGAGCACCTACTCCATGCAGGTACTTTGGTTCTTGGAATTCAGTTTTCTCATAGACATCATAGGCAAGAGTAGAAAGCAGTCATTAATCCATGGACAACATAGAAAATTAGAGTTGTGTTCAGTGCTGTAAAGGAAAGGTTATATATTGTATGAGACAGGCCTAGTCAGGGGTTTAGGGAGAGTTTCCATGAGGAAGTCAACTTTGAACTGAGATTTAAAGGATAAAATTTATTGCTAGAGAGCTTTCAAGCTGTAGGAATAACATGGTCAGTGGCCTTGTAGTAAAGAGAACTTAATTGCTTAGGAGGCCAAGGCTACTGACCTCAAAGTCCAAAGAGAAGGTGGCACAGATCCCGGAAGGTCTGGTAGACCATAAGGAAAGATCAGTTAGCCTCACTGTGGAAAAGACATTAGAGGAGACAAGGAATATAGATAATGGAGAAACCATTTAGGGGGGGACCATTGGGAGCTGCCCAGGTGAGAGATGATGGAACTTGGAATACAGTGGTGGTGGTAGAACTAGAATGTAAAGGGACAGGTTTAACAGATCTTTAGGAGATAAATTTTGGGGTTTTGGTGATGGGTTACATATCTGGGGGAAGGGAGAGGAGGTATGGAGTGAGAGGTGTCAGAGATGGCTCCTGAGTTCTGGAGTTGGGCTGTGCCATTCACTAGAATGATAAACAAAGGAGACAAATTTTATGACTTTTTTTTTCTTTTTGGTGGGAAGGAATGGGAGGAATCCAGAGTTTTTAAAATGATAACAGGGGAATAT